TAATATGTGACCAATAAATAAATTGTGATCTATAATTATATATATGTGACCATTAATTGTATAATTGTGACCTAATTAATAAATATTTTTAATTAATTAACTAAATAACTAAGTTTTATATTTTTTAAACTTAATACCTGATTTTTGAATGGGTGAAATTTAAAACCTGATTTGTGAATTCTTCCCTAAAAAAGAATAAAAAGTTCGCCCAACCCAAAAATTAATTTTAGCTCAACTAACTTTATTCCTAACTCAAGCCCAATGTTCAATTATTCAAATTTAGTTTAATACTCTACAACAATTACATATTTATTTTATTCATATCCATGATACACAAATAACTTGTTACCAAATTAGATATTTTATTTCACACACATATATAACTACGCTTAAAGAGTTCATTTACAATCAAATTAGTTTATTATATAACAAATAATTTTTATTTATTAAAGACAAAAGACTTATTTGAACAATATAAAATTCCACATGTTTGACTAAGCTTAAAAATAATTAAAAGTCATTTTTTTGTAAAAGTTGTCTATTTACTTAAACGTGAGCTTTCTAAGCTTATTGAAAATGCTCATAGTCCACCACCTTGTTCAAAAAGTTTCACCATTGACGCCTTCTCTCCATCTCCAGAGTCTCTTGGCTGTTGATGCTTGACTTGAGGGATGAGAGAGTCTAGACTGCCAGATAGTTCTCCATTCCCACCAATATCAAGATTTCTTCTTGTCTACAAAGACGTGTAGAATAAAAGGTTGACATATCTTTGAGCGTAAAATTGGTCACTTCTACCATATTTACTTGTTTTTACAGGGGATGTAAATTTCCAGGATTCTAGTACCTGACAATATCTAGTACAATAACAATATAATTTATGACCAAAACTTCTAAGACCTAAATGTAGGGTTTAAGTCCTCAAACCAATCCTTAGAGAAATGAAAAACAGGCTGAAATCAAAGAAAATGCAAAGCAAACACGCAGATTGATAGTAGTTCACCCTCTACTCTCTATGCTTTTTATCCCACCGCAAAAGAATGACCCCTCAGATTCCTTTATATAGCTTTAGAAGCTAGGGGAACCTAATTAGGCTCCAGATAATCCAACACTTATAATGAGTTGCTATAAAGCAGGCTTCTGAGGATTTACCCTTCTCCGATTCCATCCAATCAGAATGGTGATGGCCCACTATCTAGACTACATTTTGGGACCCCCACCCCCAGGGGTTCCAGGTGCACTCAACAGAAAAGGAAAACGAATAATACCCGATCAGCTTCAAAACTTATTTGCAACAGCTGACTTCGTAAAATTGCTATTTCTTCTTCAAGCCTTGCTTTTTGATGTGCTTCATCTTCCACCAGCTTGTGAAGCTTTGAGATTTCATCATTTCGAGCAGCCTAATATGCCAACTCATTGCCATTAGAAGCATAGTTACAGAAGTAGCAAGAGAGCATAAATGATATAGTGAAGAAAGGAATTGATCGATACAACAAAATACCTCTGTTTTTTTCCACTGAGTCAATTGATTTCTAAGATTATTGACTTCTGCTTCTGCAGCTTTCCGTAAAAGAATTTCATTCTGATGCATGTTTTTAATCTTGGCAACTTCACCAGAAGTTGATAGCTAAAGACCAGATAGAACCAATGAGAAGTATCATGAATGCCTACCGGCGCATAATCAAAGTAACTTTTTACCTAAGCGGCCAATCGATGAGAGGCCATTTGACAAGAAAACAGAACAAATAAAACTGACAAAAGTGGAGATGGGGAAGAGAACAATTACTACAGCATTTTACGGTTCATTTTCAAATTATTGAGGATGAAATGGAAAACGCAGCATTGGAGATGACACTAATTTTAATTTCATAAAGTGGAAAGAAAAATGAGGATAAACCACCATGCAAGTGCAGAAATTGAAGTAAGTACTGGCTCAAATTTTAAAGAATAAGCATCTAAAACCTTTACGAGTTCCAAACAACATGTCTGACCATAGAACTTCACATTAATTGGACTTATGGTTACTCTTACTCTTCCAATTATGAATAAATTTAACCTGAATATATTGAATCCTTTTTCTCTTGGAAAGTTTTAATTCCAAAGGGACCTTAAAGAAATATGACAGATCTAAAAAGGTCATGATCCTGTGAGCTTTTCGCCGAGGGTTCTAGGGGGTGAATCCGTCAACATACACACACAAAAACAATTATGGTTATATAATTGATGCTTCAACCTTGACGCTGGTGAATAACAACCAACTGCAGCAGACAATGGCTCATAATCATACTATAGTATAATTGAAGCTTCAACCTTGAAGCTGGTGAATAACAACCAACTGCAGCAGACAATGGCTCATAATCATACTATGCAAGATTTTCTTTATTGACTGGTGTACCTCTGAGTTGGATTTCTGATCAATGCCATCATTAGCCGGTCCAACTTTGACTTTTTGTTGTCCATGCTTTTCTTGTTTTTCTGCCCTTTGTTCCTCGAGTTTCTTAATTGATTCTGCATAGTCTTTCTGATACTTCAATTTCTCCTCCTGCAGAAAGAAAACCACAAAACTGAAAGAAATCCAAATAAACCTAGTATAGCCAACTTGTGGCACTAAAGCAAAATATGAAAATATCAACTAATAAAATGTTCTGTAAGTGCCGTTACCTAGGTCAATAGTATCTATAAAAGACTGTGCCCCTAATTAAAATAGAACATACGGAAAAAAACTCAGATTACAAACAGCTTTAAGTTGATCGGATCAGTCAAGAGTTGAAAGCACTAGCAGAACAAAATACAAGCAACCTTATAAATCCGTGTATAGATATATAAACATTAAATATATACATGATAAGTAGGTGTGTATCTGTGTAGGGAAGATACCTCTCTACAACAATAAGCAGAATGCGAATAAATGAGAGGACTAAACAATGAACTTCTTGAGAAACAATGTCAAGGAAAGATAAAGTCACTTAGAAGATCATGAATCAAACAAAAATCAGTGCTCAATTATTGTCAATATGTGGATAGGGTGTGCAAAATGCATCAAGTTGGATTCATTTACCTCAGAACATCTGACTAGCAATCTACAGTATAGACTTTTTAATAGTTGTTAATGGAGATAAATTCAAGAGAATCCCCTTTTTTTAACACAGTATATTGTGTTTGACATGCATGCAGTTACCTCCAATGCATCAGCATAGTTTAGTTCAGCGTCAGCAACACGTTTTTGTGCTTCCAAAGCTATCCTTTCAACCTCATCTTGGAATGCTTTTTGCTGTCTTTCGTGCTCAGCAATTAGTTTGTCTAATTGTACATCAAGCTTCCTTGATAAACTTTTATAATCAAATTCCTCTTTAATTTTTAACATGTTCTCCACCTTCATTGCCTGTGAAAATGCAAAACATTTCATTTTTTACCCAATTATCAATGCCAAACTCATCATCTCATGCATTTTTCCAAAATTTCTCATCTTGTTTCAACGCAAATACAAGAGTAACGAGAAGAATGAAAAATTGGAGCTACAATATATGTCAAACCAAATGAAACCTAAGAAAGTAACAAGAACAGAAACTAAATAGGTAATATGTTCAATATTAAACATCTGAATAAACAAGAAAAGATAAATGAAAATTACTCGTTGTCCAAACGTTATAGTGCTGGATGTCTCTCCTCGGTGGCGTGGCGATGGCCCAACGGTAATAATTAATGAGGTTCTTGCTGTGCCTGAGAATTCAAGTGCATTTACATTGAATGACATTTTGATCTTAAAAGTTATTATTATGCTTTAATACAAACTTGCAAAAGTAGAATAGAATGTTCACCATCTTCCAGTGGGTTCCTACCAGCTATGCTATCAGAAAAGTTTTGACGGATGCATCGTCTAAAATCTCAACTGAACATGGCTTAATTCTCAGTATAAAGCATTAGATTACTGGTTGGGATAAATGAATCAATAATACTTACAATATATGGATATCTGGTATATATTCATTATTTCCTGATCAAGTGAGCTTAGATTTCTATACATCCAAAACTACGATGTAAATTCAGAATTTCAGGTCATGCAAGTTCAAATTGTTTATCACTAAAGCTTGAGGAGACTGATTTAACCATCATTTACAAGTGATAAATAACTGGATTAAAATTATCATGCATCCCATATCAACGAATAGAACTCGAAAATAACCACTTTATCTATTTTTTCTTGACTTCTATGATGTCTGAGATATGCATCTCCAGGTTCTCAAGACACAAAATAAAATAAAATAAAATCACTTTTCCTTGAGGAATGAACAAGATGTCCATTTTATCTCATATCATCAGACTTATATTCAGCTATAAGCTCACCTCCAAAAGAATCTCGAAGCAGCCTTGTAAGCTTTGAATCGCGAACAGGAACATGAGCACTGTTCTCTGCCAATGCATTAATACACTTCCCTAGTGCACTCAAAGAGAGGTTGATAGACTTGGCTTCCTCAAATGTATGTCCCTCGCTTCCTGTCGTTCAATCAATCTTTGGGAATTACTAAGAAAACAGGCTAAATTTTTGGCTAAGGTGCAAAGCATTATCATTTCCAAATGACATCTTTGATAACTTGCATCACAAGTAATACAACTACAATAAATGAATGTCTTGTGATGCCTCATTGAGCTTAATGGAGAAGTTTTCTTATTATTCTTCTACTTGTAGTTTTTTCATCATTTTTTTGGCTGGGGTGGGTGAGTGTTACAAGAAATGTCCATGATGAGATTCCTTAGTGTATTTATTCAGTAATGACATAGTTTTATTTGATGAGACTAGAAGGGTTAAATAGTATGTTAGAACGCTGGTAGAGTAATTTGGAATCTTACGGTGTTAGAATAAGTAGACCCAGACACATTAAATGCAATGTCACTTCACTAATACTAGGAATAAGGACAGTAATTTGGTCATTATAAAGGAAAAGGCCGTCTTAAAAAAGTGATTGCTTCGGGTTATTTAAGTTCGAATTATTAATGGGAACTGAAGAGGATTTGATAATAGGAAGAGCCGGTAAATGGATGTGCTACATGAATCCTATGTGATGGGAAGATCCTTATAAGGTTAAAATGTCAGACTTTCCATGCTTTATGGTCCTCATTCTTGAAACTATTAAAAGAAATATGTCCATAAGATGACTGTAGAAAAAATAAGGATGTTAAGATGGATGTGTTCTGTGTTGCACGGATACTTCAACTAGGGTGGCATATTTGTGTCCAACGCATGTTAGACATGTCGGACACCAACACTTCTCAGACATTTCTACCATGATCATTTTTCTTTCTTTATGAGAAATATTATATATATTTAACTCAAAGTTATTATTAAGCACTTGTTTGATCCCCATTTTTTCAAAAACTCATTTTTTAAAACTCAATTTCAACCACAAATTCTCCAATAAAATAACTTTATGCATAAATCGAATTTTTTTTCTTATTTTTAAATCACACATTCTCCAAAAAAAAAATACTACTCCAAAACATATTTTTCCTTCCAAAATGAGGCTCAAACAAGGGCTAAATAACAAATAGGTACTCTTATTTAAGATATTTCAACAAGAAAAATTAATAAAAAATATAAAACTAAATTTATACTATATAAATGAAAAAATTGAAAGAAATTAATCAACGTGTCAGTATTTTTTTAAAAATCGTGTACAGATGTATCCTACACGGACTCATAGGTGGTGATATTAGAGTAAATAAGAATAAAAATGAGAATATGTGCAACAAGCAATTTTTCGATCACTGGCAATATTGTAACATTGTATACTTTTCATGATTCAGTACATTACCCGACTTTTCAACGCGCTCAGAACCAGCGAGGTCTACAATAACTAGCTTGCTTTTACGTACAATAGGAGCCTTCAATGTTTTACCCGTGCTTTCAGTAGAGAGAGAAGAATTTCTTCCCTTGATGGACCTCTTCACGTGTACCTGCAGCAGTCACAAATCCATGCCTTTAAGAATTTCCAGAAAATGTAATCAATTCCAGAAATTTTGAAGTGCAGGAACAACCAACATAATAAAATGAAGTGCATTTTAACCATTAAAATGGCATGACTGCGTGAAGATTCTGTGTTTAATTTTGTGTTAGCAGCAAAACGATTTGCCTCCCCCATACGTAGTAGTTCCACAAAACTCTTTTGATCCCTTATTTCTACTAGGGTCGTGCCAGGCAGTGACACGTCTCCATTTTTTGGATCTTCCGCAATAGATATATTATCATTAGCTGGATCGAGGAGGTCTTGTATGGTTTCCATATAAAGCTGCACATATTTACGAAGAATGTCAGTCTTGCACAGATCGCAAAAGTCTTAAAAAACCGTAAAAGTATTCGATAAAAGTTCTGAGGAAAAATCGTGCAAGTAATTGTTATACGAAAGGAAGAAAATTAATCAAATAACAACCTGAAAATAAGAGACTGAAACTGCATCAGTCTCGGGTGATATTTCAGCTAATATATTCTCCAGTGCACGCACCATTATTCCACGACCAGCAGTGTCTTCTTCTCCTAGTCGTCCAAGAGTGTAGGTTTTCCCGGTACCAGTCTGCCCATATGCCATGATTGTTCCATTGTAACCATCCAAAACACTCTGAAGACAACAACAAACATAAGTGCACGTTTTATTAAGACAAATATTGACAATAAGTATATGAATCAACTTTTATCTACCTCAACTACGGGCTTTGCGACAACTTCATAAACACGTTTTTGTGATGCAAACTCTGTCAGCACTTCATCAAACTCATATGTATCAGAATCCCAGTTGTTTTTTCGAATTTTTAACCTTTTGAGCTGAAACAGAGCCAAGAATAATTAACACTGGCATTATAAGTAAAATGTCTAACTTTGACTACATTTTCAAAGCAGAAATCATCAGAAAAATGGCTTCCAGATGAAGTGTTGGGTCATAATAGTGGACAATATATGGAGTACCTCTGGCTGCAATTCTACACAATCTGCAAAATCAGCATCTGCCACCATCTCCTCTGCATTTCGAGGCCGTAGTCTAACAGCAACTCGAACTCTCCCAGAAACTGTATTCAAGCATTGCAACATTTAGCATGCAGCAAGCGTTCTAACATTTTTAAATTACTCATATTACCATAACAAAAAAAAAACAAAACATATGTAAGAACTATCATAAACCATATTGTAGGAATAATATGCACCATGGAAAAGAAAATGCAAAACAATTCGAAAACCCCTTAAAGCAAACAATTGCAATGTTGAAGCAACACACCATGGAAAGTCCAAAGTCGAGCTCTTTTCATACGGATTCTCATACAAGAAGAATGCAACATCAAGAGCTTCTCATAGAATAACATCTGATAACAATTTGCTTTTATCTCGCAATTTCATTTCCCAATAACTCTTTCCAAACAGCAGAGTATTTGCAAGAAAACTAGGTACTATTTACAAAAAATAACCAACGAATTCTAATTTTAATTGTCCCTAAAGCATTTCTAACTCAAAAAAAGGTATACAAAATTAAACTAAGAAATCACATATTTATCCACACAAAAAACGAACTTCACTCATAAAATAAAAAACAATGATGAAAATAAGAAATTAACACTCTAAAAACTCATAATTAAGCAAGAAAATTCAAGCCCAGTTTACATTTCAACCTGCAGAATCATCCTTGGAGCCGCCGCCGACTGAGCCGGTGCTGCTCCGCCGTATGCTAGACCCCGTTGATTGCACCTTCGACTTAAAAGAAGAAGAAGATTTGGAACTATAATTGTCGAGTTTCATACCAACACCTTTTGATGTGATTCCATTTCTGTAACTAAAGCTCGACATTCCCTTTTTTCCTTTATCTTCCCTATTTTTTTCCCCCCTCTTCTTCTTCTTCACATTACAATTCTCTAACCCAAATGATCAGAAGTTTTGAATGGAAAGAGAGGTTTCTTGGGCGTGTACTTTTGTGGGTCATGTATATTTTCGTGCACTTTAATTCATATTCATATCTATGATTGGATTGAGAATAGTGTCCACTCTTTGGGAGTTGAAATGACATGGGAAAAGAATTAATTAAAGTCTTTAATTAGAAAATAATTAATTAAAGTCTTTAATTAGAATTAATTAATTATCGTTTTAACATGATTGTGTTGGTAATCATGTCTAACGGTCTCTTAAATTTGAACTAATATCCTTGTACATTTAACCTATGTTTGGCAATGTCAAAAACTACTAAAGTAACTTTTTTTTACTAAGTCAAAGTCAAATACTAAATTTCAACTATTTATATTCATAATTATTATTTATTTATTATCCACACATTACATGGGATCTAATAGTATTTCTCGCAAAAAAGTTACTAATAATTTTAACTGAGCATCAGCATTCTTATAGACAACTCAAACATTTTAAACATTAGTACAACTTTCAAGTCGGCATTTGAGCATGTTTGGCAAAGCTTAAAAGAATAATATAAGTTGGTCAAACATTTTTTTTTATCCATATATTTTATATGACTCGTAACTCATATTCACTTATTATCTAAGTAATTTCTAAGGTCCACAACCTAAAAATACTTTAAAACAAGCACTTTGAGAACTTAACATCTCGACCCATTCAATGACTCGAACTTTACTTAGAAAATAAATTAAAATTTTCAAAAAAAAAACTGGACCCGGTGGCTCGCCGAGACAATACGTTTATCATGGCCTTGTCTAACTTGCTTGATCGTTCCAAAAGTACTGAGAAAAGCTAGTCAAATGTGGTTTTTATCTACACATTTCGTAGAACTCGTAATTCGACTGTTTAATCCACACATTCTTATAGATTTTCATTTATTTATCTCACACTTTTTGTATATATTTTTTTTTCCAATTTTATAGATTATCTTTAAGCCCCCGTTTGAGCCCCATTTTTTCTCATTCCATTACATTAATTTTTTTTTCTCTTCATCTCAACCACACATTCTCAAATAAAATAATATTACACACAAATCTAAAACTTTTCCACCACACATTTTCCCATCAATCACTATTCTACAAATTTTCAACCCCAAAAAATGGGGGCCAAACAGGGGCTAAGATAGTTATTTTCAACCCCAAAAAATGGGGGTCAAACAGGGGGCTAAGTCAAGTCTCAATTATAAATAAAGCATCAAAGAAATTTGAATCTCGGGTAATTTCAAGAATACACCAAATATTATGTTCCAAATCCATAATTGAAATCACGTCTCACATGACTTACAATTTATGTGTACATTTTCGCCATTAAAATACCATCAACTTCTTATAAAGACAAAGCAATTCTTCTTAGTAAATAAACAAATGATCAATTATTTTTCGTCGTTTTGTATGACCGTCGTATAAATATGAGATGAAAACTAAATCCTCATGAAATAGGTCCATAAAAAAAAAAAAAAAAATTGATGGATGACTAATTGTTGGTTTATACAATGTCAAACAAATGCCTATCTATGATCATAATATAAATTGTTATCAAAGCAAATTGCTTCATGTCTACATCACTAAATAATTGCACCCATCTAATAAGCATCATAATTTCCATTTTTCTATATAGAATGTAGAATCATTTAGACATGCCAACAATTTCTTTTCGAAATGAGGTCATACACTAGCAAAGACCAAGTATCAAATTATGAGTAATTTTCTTAATCATAACTTCAAAAAAAAAAAAATTAAACTCATTTTTTTCAGTTTTCCTAATCACCCTTCCACCCATTGTAATATCAAAATTATTATGAGAGAATCGATGAAAGTCGTGTCATTACGAGCCTAAAATGACGAGTTTCTAATAATAATCATGCATTTTCTTGATTTCAGAAAGTAACGAAAATCGTAAATTTTTAAACAAAAAGTCGTATGATATATGTTTACATAAACTTTATCTACATTGCTCTTTTCTTTTCTTTCTTTTTTTAATAGAAAATAGAGGTATGTTCTTCAAAAGTCAAATTTCAAAACTTTGAAACAAAAAGGTAAGGAAAAAAGTGAGTAAAGTATGGAGAATCTAAGGATGTCCAAATGAAATCTTGCACTAAAGTAGGCATGTTGGAAGTTGGATGGCGCCATTTTACTTTTAAAACATTTAGATTCACATTAATCTAAGTAAAGAGACCCTCTTAGTGGAAGAAATCTCAAAGCGGGCTATGCCCCTTATGCCATTGTTTTTCAATTTGTGCTCCACCATTTTTTTTTTTTCAGTTGTACTCTCATATGAGAATGAGAAAAGTGTAATTATTTTATTTATTTATTTTTCATTGCTTGTTTGGCTCAAAGTATCTTATTGTTTTTGACATATGTTAGCCTTTCGAGACCACCTAGCAATGAAAGATTGTGTCCATAAAACATCGATTTTTTAGAATTAAATTTGCCACTTTTTTTGGAAATTTGTGATAAAAAAGTAGGAAAAATTTTAGATTTACATGCAAAATTATTTTACTGAGAGTACGTGTAATTAAAAATAAATTTTAAAGAATGTGGTTTAAAGAGGGACTGAAATTTCAAAAGTATATGGGTTCACCAACTAGAAGGTGGAAATTAATTGATGGTCTACCTTTTGCATTTGATTTTGATAGCTCTATGTTATCATGAATTGGTTGGTTGGGTGGGTCATGAACTTCATAGTACTAAAAACAATACAATGAATTTGGAGCAATGGCAATGGAAGTTGGGAAGCATATATTCTTAGATATATTAATGCTAAAACTTAGAAGCACCAAGATATTCATGGAATCAATGTGAGTGGCTTGTTTGCCTCTTTCCATTTTTAGTTATATATAAATTTCAAGATTAATCAAGTTATATTGGATGTACGTAGTGATAAGAAGATTGGACTTTTCAGTGGACAAAATGTAACTTAATTTTTCGTCATATATGATTTAACTTGACTTCGTGTTCATTAATATTGATCGACTCATAAATAGAATAAGATGAAGTGTACAAATGTAAAATGTATAAAATAGCGATAGAGACTTATTAAGTGGTTGTGATAATGATTTTTGGAAAATTTATTTTTTGTAAATTGATTTTTTGGGAGAATGTGTGTTGAAAGGTAGATAAAAGATATGAAGAAATATATAGATTTTTTTTTTTTTTTTTTTTTTAAGAATGTACAGTTGAAAATGAGTGCTATAAATGTTAACTAACTATTATTTTTTGAAAATTGATTTTTTATGGAGAATATGTGTTAAAAGGTAGATAAAAGATATGAAGATGATTTTTTTTTTAATTATTATTATTATTATTTTAAGAATGTAAGGTAGAAAGAGCAATTCTATGTACAATCACAATCTAGATGGAGCTGGATGATATGCTAAATGAAATGCGAAACTAAATAATTTATTTCATTTCACCTATCGTTTAATACCACATTAACGCATAATTTTCAAATAATCACTCTAACACAAGCACTGACTACACTTGCAAACATTTACTTGGCACCTAATTCTTGCAACATATACAAGCAATGTCACTTTACTTATTGAAGAAGAAGTTGCCAAGAGAAAGGAAAATGGCTATTGTTTTTATCAATCAGATTGAATGCATTAAATTATCTAAAATCTAGAACAAGTTACTCAATTATAGATCTCGTACGAGCTCTAAGGAGAATTATAGATCGAGCGAAACGAAAAAAATAAAAAAATAAATCAAATAATTTACATAAATAGTCACTATCAAGTAACCACGAGGGAGTAGTACATTGTGATGAAGTTTCTCAACTACATTGCCATAAAGTGAATTATTCTTCTACTTTTTCAATTGGAAAGTCTTAAAGGAAAGCTAAAAAGGAGAAGTTATTGCCTATTGATGGAGATTTCACATCAGTCATGGATAGATTTGCAAGTAATGTTATCAAGCTGGAAAAGAAAATTGGACCTTAATTTTTTTCATGTGTTCAAGTACTTTAGTTGAAACATTGAAAATTCAACAAAAATGTGGTCCTCTTTTTGGTTTTCTAATTTCTAGTGATAGTCGTGCAATATACATTACATCATAAATATATATTTACGACGGTTAAGTTATATTCAGGTTACCACAAGATGTTAAGGAAAGCGAGAGATCAAATAGAACTAGACAAATTATCGATCGTTTCAATACCACTACTTAGTAGACTATTGCGAAAAGTGTACAGTAAAATGAAATCATTGCAAATTACCTGGTAGAGTTTGAGAGCAATTTTGTTCTTTTAGAGGGAAGTTGTTCGGAAGACACGTTTCTCGAAAAAGAATATGAATAATTCTTTTTCAATTTTATTTGACGAATTCTTTTTTCAAATTTATTATATTAGTTGGTTTATAATTCGATGGGAATGCTACACAATACACTAAAATTAGAGGGTCAAATTTGAAAAATACGTCCCAAAAATATCAATTATTGTAATGCGTAATGGTCGTTGTTCAGAAAGTTACAACCATTGGTCCATTGTAACATCTCAGAGCGCTACAATAACTTTTGAGAAATTAGAATTATTGTAACTTGTTTTTTTCTAAAAGAAAACTGAAGTTACAAACTTACTGTCATTGTAAATTTCTGGACGTATTTTTTTAATTAAACTGTAAAAAAATCTGTATTTTTAAATTTTTTTTCATCTAAAAAACACTGCAGTCCAATTTTCCCTTCAAATAAATACTATTGTGGGCTGGGCCGAGTTGGGCTAAGGGTACTCTTGACCTTGAGGCCCTACCTACTTCTAAGGCCTGTTGGTCAATTAGTCTAGTGACAAAGACATCGTAAAATTGTCATAGCCAACCCTACAATTAACTATTGAGAGCGTGTTTGGAAGGGATTTTTGGGGGTAGAGTTGATTTTGAATAGTGATATTGT